GGGAGGGGGTTAGATTTCTGAGTAATTTCTGTTGGGTTTTTTTTTTTCATTTGTTTGTTTCTTTTTTGGTTATATATATATATATATATATACATATATATATTTTATAATCCCCACGACAAGGAAGCTCCAAGTGAATACCAAACCCAACAGCTGTCCATACTTCTTTTGAACACTTTCCACCCTAAAAAACATAGGAATCACCAGAAGGGATCAGACCCAGCTTAGTATCCCATTTCCAACAGTGAAGCACCAAGTCCTGCAGAAGCAGTGGAAAGAAACCATGTGATGTGTTTTCTGGATGACACCTAAAACTTGTACGCGAGAAGAATCAGAGGGTAGGTGCACGGTCCTCCTTGGGAACCGCGTTGTACGGAAATAGAGACATAGCTCCATCATTTCCTTGTAAGAAATCAGAATAAGTCAGAATAAGAAATGCAGAATAAGAATGAATCTTATTTAAGAATGGATCGGAATAAGTAGTAGAAACTCTCTACGTTCTTTTATAGAGGTGAAGATGGGAGGAACAAGATGAGTCTCCAGGAAAGCCCATGGCAGGTTTTTGGCTCAAATTCTGATCTTGGCCACAGGGTTAAAAATCTGCGTTCATGCTGAATTGGTGGGATGCTGAATAGCTCTGGACTAAGGCTCTTAGGATGCTCTGGACTAAAGCTGTTAGCGAGCCTACCATTTAACAGCAAATGAGTGGCTTGAAGTTTTGAGAAACTTTTTGTTTTGCTTCTAGGCTGTCTTCTAGATACAGCCACAGACCGATGCTGTATGTGAAGTCCAGCCCCTGGGCCAATCTCTTGAGTAAGAAGTCCACTTGGATGCTTACCTCTCCACTCCTTTCACAGCCTGTGCATGCAACCCAGGTAACTGAAGTCATACTCTGTACAACTATATACCTTTGTGTTCAACATCTCCATAGATCAGATCACTCCTTCCTTCCCCATCTTTGGCTACCATTCATATTCCACTTCCCCAGGTGACCTAGGTTGCATCTGAACCCAAGGATGCTTGATCTTAAGTTTCAGACTTCAGAAATTAAACACAGCACATTCCCTTGTCCCAGGACCCATGTCCTATGCTGGTAATAGAAGTCCATGGAGCTGTGTTCCTTTCAACTAAATGTGTTTTAGTCCCAAGTGTCCAGCTTTGGTTCTCTGCAAGCTAACGTCCAGGGGTTTGGTGGCGTAGTATCCAAACTAGATGCACTTGCTGCCACATTCAGCATCTAATTCAACTGTAGAGGGAAGAAGTAGTTTGCTAGAAAAGCTGCCCTTCCCTAAAGGAAGGAGTCCTGGCTGCTTTGGCTCTTACTGCATGTCAGGGACATACGCTGTCGTTCACTGCTGTGGCTTCTTGCAGTTGATTTAGTGATTTCCAGGAAGGTTTTTCCTAGGGGAGGTTTGGAAAGGGCTTGGGAGGACTTTCGGGTAATTTTCAACCTGCGTTGCCATTGCCATGGTATTGAGGAATGTGCCTTTAAGGCCTGAGTTTCCCAACCAGGGAATCCCGGGTGCATTGGGGCTCTGGTTGGAAGTGGGCACGGGGTAAAGCAAAGCTCCTGCAGGTGCCTTATCCATGAGCCACCGCAGTGGAGAAGGGTGGAGGTATGAGTCCTGTTAGACCAAAGCTGAGGGAGCTCCCCTGGATTTGAAGCACCTCCACATCTGGTGCAGAAGTTCCTCTGTACGCATGGGCAGGGAGGCTGAAAGCCAGGTGAGAGATTGGGGCTGGCTCTGCAGTGAGGACATGCTTTCTAGCACCGATTCTCAACCCGGAGAGTGCACCTCTGCAGGGGTGTCCTGCGGTGGGATGAGATGAGCAGATGAGGGCAGGCTCAAGCTCATCCCTGCCTGACTAATCCCTCACCCCCACTGCCCAGCCCCTCCGCAGAGAAATAAGAACTGTAGTGTATAAATTAATGTTTGAAATCAGGTGCCACTCAATTCACAGGAGTTGGAGAGGGGTGCCTCAAGTCCAAGGAGGGGTGCCTTAAGTCCAAAAGGTTGCGAACCCCTGCTTCTTCTCTGGAACAGGGGATGTCTGTATTGGGGGTGAAAGTGGGGAAACTGCTGTTTCAGAGCTCAGTGTTGGAAGGCAGAGGAGTCGCCTCCTCACAATGGTCCCTCCTCTCCCTTTTCTCACTATTTAGACATATTTGGGATTTGCAGTTTCATTTTAAGGGCTCTATCAGCATGCATCGACAGCTGGCCTTGGTACCAGCACTGGCATACCCTGGACCCCCTGCTTCGGGGATTTGGGAGAAATCAGACCCATGCTTTCCCTAGATGGCTGGTATCATAAATGTGGGCCCAGAGCTTGTGTCAGACCTTGCAGGGATCTCTTCTCCCTTGGGAACCAATGCATTCGGCTGATCAGCAGGGATCCTGGTTTTCTCTGAAAACCAATGCATTAGGCTGATCAGCAGGGATCCTGGTTTTCTCTGATTAAAAAAAAAATAATTCTGATTTTAAAAAGTAACCCCAAATCCACATTTTTCCGATATATATATATAAAATATGGAGTATATATATTAGTGGCATTTCATTTTAATCATGGAAAAATGTGGATTTGGGGTTACTTCTTTAAATCAGGATTTTTTTTTAAGGTAACCCCAAATCCACATTTTTTCCTGATTTAAAATGAAATGCCACTAATATATGTATTAATGGAATATAATGTGTGTGTGTGTGTGTGTGTGTGTGTGTGTATATATATATGTGGCATTTCATATTAATATATGTGTATATATGTGTGTGTGTGCATGTGCATGCATGTGTGTATATCTATTTCTATCTATCTATCTATCTATATATATATATATACTAGTGGCAGTTCATTTTTATCACAGAAAAATGTGGATTTGGGGTCACTTTTAAATCAGAAAATTTTGGATTTTTTTTTTTATCAGAGAAAACCTATCACAGAAAAATGTGGATTTTGGGTCACTTTTAAATCAGAAAATTTTGGATTTTTTTTTTTATCAGAGAAAACCAGGATCCCTGCTGATCAGACCATTCAAACTGAGGGGAGAAATGCTTCACAATTCCCTGTTAGGCTCCATGCGGCTGCTTGTGTACAGCACTGTGTCTTAATGAAGCCTGCGGTTGAAGTCCTAAGTTTGCAGCTTCTTTGCCACTTGTTATCTAATGAAAAGACCATTATCTCAACAAGGGGGAAATCCCCACGTGCTTTTTCTCTAAATTCAATCAAAACATATACTTTTTAAATAGAAACACTCTGGTGTCTCATGTCAGAGCCCTTTCGCACAAGCAGCTGCCCAAGCAAGCCATATCCGCGAAGCATAATTCAAGCCACCCTTTGGCTCTGGTAAATGCTTTCCTTTGTCTCAGTGGGCCGACTGATACAAATCAGGATATGTAAATTTGGGCAATAGATCTTAATTATGAGCAGCAGGTGTCTGTGCTGGGTGCTCAGGTGAGGGGGGTTGGTGCAGCTTCTGTGACTTGCCCTTTGTCAGCGTACAAAGGGAGCGCCGCAAAGCTCCAATTAATTACCAGTGTTAATGAGCTCAGCTCCCCCAGTGAAAAGATCAGTGCCTGGCCCAGTGCTACTGTGGAGTCGTCTCAGCAGAAAGCGGTTTAGGAAAGAGGCAGCTCGACCTCCAGAGTGCAACAGCAGTCAGCCATGGGACTTACAAACGATAATGAGGAGTTCTCACAAACCCGACTGCGAGAGGATGGACTGCAATGAGTGAGGGGCCCGGCTGCAGAAAGTGGAGATGCGTTTTCTCAACCCACCTACTGAGCAGGTGTGTCCCCAGGCAGAAGGACCTATTTTAAATATCACTGTCATTTAGTAGGAAGTTTCTCCCCATCTTAAAGTCTACACAGACCCTTATCACACTTCTGTAACTGCACAGAGGTAAATAACCTCTGTCAAAGCAATCAATGCAAGACTGAAAATACAACCCATTTTAAATGCAGCGCTCTGGGAATTCAAAGCAAGTTGCTTGCATCTGACAGATGGATAGAGAGCAGATACCGCTGTGCTTGTTGCTCGTTGTGACCTGTGATTCTGGTTAAGTTCTGGCTACTAGGATGAGAAGGTAATTCAGTCATCCTTTCCACGCAGGTTTGGCTAGCAGTGAGCCAATAGTCCTCCATAGGCTGATGACAATGGTGCCAATTATTGTCAAATGGCATGGCATTTAATTTGGGTTAATGAGATAACCCAAACTGTCTCAGTATCAAATATCTAGTGGTTCAATAAATAGCAGCCCAGGGCTGCTGGTCACTAAGAGCTGGTCATTGGTTTAAATAGGAATCCACATAGGTTCCCATTCTGACTCTGAACCTACACTCCGGAAGTCCAAGTCATTACAACCCGGTAACTATGTAATAATATCTAGTTTGAAACCAGCCTGGATGCATAGCTTGATTCAAAATCATCATGTAATTCCAGGAGAAGTCTACTGAATCAGGACTTGGCATGTCTTAAAGAGGTGCAATGTAAGCCCACCCAGGTGGCCTCAGTGGTTCTGCAACTGCAAGCCATTTCTGTCACTTGCAAAGGCCCAACTATTCCCCCCTCCATCATGAATGCAAAATGCTCCATCTTCCTTCCTCCCCGCCTGTACATAGTAGGGGGCACTGAGGTTGCAGAGGACAGGGTGGGGGTCGGTAGCAATGGTTATGCTGCGCTCCAAACTCTGCAGAATAAACAGCTGGATTTTGCTTGACCTACATGCCTGCATAGGAGAAGCAAAAGGCTCTTTATTAATGGCCTCAGCACAGAGAGGGGGGACTAGTCCCTGGTTTACCCCTGAGACGTTTCTGCTACCCCTTGCAAAGTGGCAGTCTAACCCTAAATTATCTGTCCACCTGACCTGTCCCCCCCCCTGCAGTATTTGATAGTGATTAAGGGACCGAGCCCTCCACTGTCCTGCACTTTGGGTGGTCATTTATGCTAGGTGTAAAATGCTCATTCTCATGTGACTGCGTCACATGGCACCTCTGTAAATAATTATCCAGGGTGGAAAGAAATGGAGCTCCGGAGTTGTTCAGCAGTGGACCGCATTGCTGCAAACATAGTACAAAATAAAGAAAGAAAGAAATAAAGAGTTTTCTTCCTCTTCCTCCAAACCAAACCTCCACAGTCACTTTAATCAACAAGGGAAGAAATCAAGAATGAACAAATAAGCGCACATTGCAAAGCCTCCCAGAAACCTATGGGCAAGCAATAGCAAAATAACACATTTTTGCTTCTACAGGTTGGTTTTATCATGAATCACGGCAACTCTATCTCTGTTTCAGCAGCAGCCTCAAGTTGAGTAGGAATGGGTGCAAAAGTTTGAAGGGGCAATAAAACTAACCCGTCCAAATTCTTTCAAGGCTAGTGGGAGAGGGAGCATATTTCTTTACAGGACCGAAGCATTGCAAATAGTGAAGAGGAAGCGTTCTCATGTGCGGCAGTTCAGGATGGCCGGCCTGGTTGAAACGGGATGAATGAATGGAAGCGTCAAGGTATGATCAGCTGTTTATTTACACCCATTGTCTCCTTGTTTCCCACACAAATATATTCCGTGTTTAAAATTTATAAAGCCGTGCAAGCCCTTCTCACGCTGTTCTCAGTAAAATATTGCTCGCCACATTTCTCGGAGGGGCTGCTGACAAATAGGCTCTTGTTGTCTAACTTTCCCTCTGCTGAGGTTAATGATTAAGTGGTTCAGGAGGTTAATTCCTGGAGATAGTGTTGTCTTTGGCTTGAACAGATGTTGGTAGTGCTTTAATGTGGTTATCAAACTCTGCTGCCCTTCATTCTTTGCTCTGTGCAGCCCTGGGTATTGCTGAACAATGCATTCCAGACCCACTCTATGGAGATCCAGCAGAGCTGAACATACCGTAGCATTACTTCTTCAGAGCCCAGGCTTTTCTGAGGTCACAATGTATAATGACAATATACAGCACATAAACTGATAATGACAGACTTGATCTTTAAAAGATCTGTAAATATTTGTCTATGCATAAAGATACAGAATGCCTTTTTGATGCTCTTATTGAACAATCTGTAAAGCTACTCACACTCATTATAGCTTCAAATCTTTCAATAGTCCCTACAGAGCAGTGATTAGTATGTGTCATTGTGTAAACCCCCCCGCCCTTTTTTTTTTTCTCTTCCTTCCAGAGACTCATATCTTGTTAGGAGATATGAATCACAAAAGTGTTTGCAATAATCTGTCATAGAATCAGTATCTATAACAGTCTATTAAATCATTTAGGAGTCAAATGACAATTACTAGGCTGGAGTCTCTGTCATCGTACCAAGGTGGTATGAAATGTTTCCTAACTAGATGAATGTGGAAGGTTGAAATCCCTGGGTTTCTGCATTCATTAACTGACAGCTGTCCACTGCTGGCTTGCTTTCTCTAGCCTCAATAGGGGAAAAACACATCATGTGTTTGGATATGAATATGAACTTTCATTTCTACCCAGGAGAACTTTTACTGTCTTTTCTCTGATGCCTGATGAAGGGGGTTTGTATCTGAAAGCTTGCAATTAGAGAATTTTTTTATTTTGCAAAAATCTTGTTGGTCTAATAAACGATATATCACCTCTACTACAAGCCCTGATTGCTTTTTCCTCTAGACCAATACAGCTACAACCTGGATATCTGGGATATGTTTGGATACATTTACCAGCAAGCTCGTTTCTTTCTGTTCCAAGACCAGGTCTTAGCAAACTTTACGGATGCTAAAAGCATTTGTACAGATCAAAACGTGATGTTTCTAACTGGCAGGAAGGGAGATGTTGGATACAAAATCCCATCCTTCTGATGATCAACTTGCATTTTACTCCTTTTTTTGTGATTTTTATTTTTTTAAGTACTTACTATCTTACAAATTGTTAGCTAGACAACGTCAAGCTGGACAATGGCAGAAAGCTTTCAGTTTGGGTTTTGATGAGAGTAACTGAAAAAGCAACGCAGTGATACAACAATTAATTGGGATGGAGGAATCCAAATGGTAGATCCCAGCATGCTCTCCAGCCCTGAGCTGGGCTCTGCTGTCTGCTCCTAGCTGGAGCAGTGAGGCCTGGCTGACAAGGGGGTAGGTGGGCAAGCCCAGCTGGGGATGCAGCCCGGTCTGCAGAGGCAGGGGACTGCCCCCCGAGGAAAAACCCTGGCTGGGGACTGGGGCCATGGAGAAGGATTAAACACCCCTTCCCCCACTCAAACTTACTGCTGGCTACAACGGTGGACTAAAAATCCCAGAAGCACCTGGAAGCAGGAAGAGGAAGTGATGAGCAACCCTGCAGAGTCCTTCTGGTGTGATTGTGGACTGCAAATCCCTCGAGGGCAGCAGGAAGAGGAGGCAAATGCACCGCCCATGCTGGCTATGAGTCAGAGCCATGCTCCAGCGCCCCGTGGCTTCTGGCCCAAGCCACCGCAGGAATGTGTCTGCATTTCCTGAATCAAAGTCGTTTCTCAATTTTTGTTTCTTGAGTGGGAGTCCAGTTGTTTCTCAGTTTAATCTTTGCAGCTTCAACTAAGCTGCAAGACTGAATCAATTCAGCCTTGGGCTTTTTGACTGTCTGTACTGAGCCCAAGTCTGTGAACCCCCAGTGCTTTGAAAAGCATGCCTTCTACCATGTATGTCAGGTCCCTTTGACTTGCTGCAGAAGGGCCTGCACTCGGGATTTTTGGGAGAAAAGTGTTACCCAGAAACATTAGAACTGGAAAATGATGTGGCATTTGGGCATTCAAATGATCTCACTCTCAGTAAAGTGTGATGAATTTTCGCTGCACCAGCAATAGCTTCCAACTGCTCCTGAGCTGGAAGCAGGCAGAACCCCCTCAAAACTTTTTCACTTCCCATTATTGAATGTGTGCTCAAACCCAAGCCACCTGCAAGCCAGCTAGGTTGGGTACCTGAAAAATGTCAGTCCATGACCACATCCATGCCATGTGCCTTGCATATTCATTGCCAAGACTGGACAGACTTTTAAAAGCACTGTCTTGAGTATCTTGCCAAGTCTAATGTTAAATAACTTATGTGATGGTGCTTCCATCCCTTCACTTAGAAGATTGATCCACTGTCTGCAAGACCTTGAGACTTCCTCGTTATATGCAGCCATTTAAAAAAAATAATTTCCTCCATTTACCTACTCGGTTCATCTGACACCATTTGTACAGTGCACCTAAATTGAATGCGTATTTGTTTGTGCTGCTAAACATTTACATGCTCTGATACTCTGCCAGACACCCGTAGCTACGTGCTATACTAAATACATCATTTGCAGTTGCGAACTGTGTACTCATACTGGGAACCCAGTGAGAATTTCTAAAAACCTCATCTTTTAATCACTGAACTCTCATCTTATTGAGGTCATGGACAGAAGAATCAGCACCCAAGTTGTGTCTACATCAAAACTGAACTGTAAACCCAGTACTGCCAGCTCTCATTATTATCATCAAGAGTCTCACAATACGTTGTGGAGCCCCAAAGTCTGGAGTCACTAGATTAATCAAGAAGCTCCCTCCTAAAAATATTTTTTACAATTCCCGTTTGCTAAAACAGCTTGGATCTATGACTGCAATGCGCCCTATGTGCTGAAAAGTCAGCTGGGAAAATGCGGAAGGGGGAACCTCAAAAATACATGTGTAAGGAGAAGGGAGGTAGTTTATGATTTTTCAATGTCTGGGATTGGCAATATGGTAACTGGTCAATATTTAAAGATGGTATTTATTATTTGGGTAGGTGCACTGGGGAGGAATTGTACTTCTCTCTTTTTGCTTGAATTTTGGATACAGTTCTGATTTTTAGCTCTCTCACAAAGATGATGGGGTACAATGAAGCCATGTCAGAGAGGCAACTTGTTTCAAATTCAGGGCAAATCTGTGATATTATTAATACTGAATGAAATGTAAAGTTAGTTGGCTTGGCTTTCCTCGCCTTACATTGATTGATTTGTACATTTTTATTGCCTTGGACAATACAAATAGACTAGTGTCTTTAACTTTTTTTTTAAACTATACTAGGTTTCCAGTAAATGCCAATTTTGTGGTAGGTGCAGTAGAGTCACTGTGTAATGTTTGAGTAGTGTAAATGCAAAATAACCTTTTTTAAAATAGCCTATTGGAAGTTCTAGTATCTGTGAAAATTTCTCTGTGATCTTCGGCTTTTGCAAAATCGTATTTGTATCAAAGATAAACTTTTGGTCAACCTTGTTCTGACACCCTCTTTTTAACTCCTTATAATAGTAGGCTGTAGTTATAAAGTCATGACTGATGACAATTTTTCTATGACAGTTGTTGTAACTCTTGTAATTCAACACTAAAATCAAAATCCTGTGGGATCAGGAATGCTGACTGGCCTTGTACTGGTGCATTGTAATACAAGAATACCTTATCTAATTTGAATTTGTCTCAGATTGCTCACATTGCTTGCCGTAATGGCAAGGAGATTGAGGAGGCCATTTATTCCTGTAGGTCTGATGGGGGTCAGAAGTATAGTCGAAGTACTTTGGTGGTCATCTGGCAATGCTGATATATGGCAAATCAAGATTGGTAACTCAACATATCGTGGTTCTGTCAGACAAAGATTTTAATTATGCTAGTTTGAGGGCAGACTCAATGATGATCAATGGCACTGGATTACCGGCTATACTGGATATTAAATCTGCTGTTAACTTCTTCCTGGTATGTGTCTAAAATATAGCGGACAGGGTTATCCAATGCTCAAGTGTTGGCTGAATTCTTCTTCCGCTTAAATCCATGGTAAATTCCCAATTCTCCAAGGGCTTTATCCATTGGGTAGCAGGCCAGTGATGAGTATTTTGGAAATCCCACCCCTGCCCCTTAAGATGAATGATTCTCGATCATCCAAGGAACATCTGTGAGTTATAAGAGAATTCTTTTTTTTTCTATTTACCTTGGGATTTTCTCTGGCATATCTATCTTTAATATTCAGTTGCTGTAGTGAGAAACTAGACCTGCCTCATTTCCTTTCATGGGTTGTCCTTCCCTTACAGGAGCCTAAGGAGCTCTGCTTGGCAGTAGGTGCATGCAGAATATCCCAGGCATGGTGAAAAGGCTGGAAAATGATTAGACGTCTTAATATCATCTCATTTGGCAGCTCAATCCTTTAAACTTTAGCACCTTGCTTTATTTACAATGCACTTGCCCTTCAAGGTAGGAGCCTCGTATGGCTTCCAAGAGAGCAGCAGAATCCACCGATACCTGTTACTTGGGCTATGTGGGTCTCTGGTTTTGCTCCTGCCGGCTGTGATGACCCCTGTCGTGGCCGTACATTGGATTCTTGCAGCTTCAGCTAGATAGACAGATGCACACTCTAATAAGCGCTCCGGCTGGGCGGTCCCTGCGTCATGAGAAAGGATAGATTCATAGATGCTAGGGTCGGAAGGGACCTCAATAGATCATCGAGTCCGACCCCCTGCATAGGCAGGAAAGAGGGCTGGGTCTAGATGACCCCAGCTAGATGCCTATCTAACCTCCTCTTGAAGAC